CAGCGCCGGGCTCAGGGACCCTGCCGGGGTCCCCCGGCCACCCACCTCCAGCCAGCTCCTCCTGTGGAGCTCCAACTTCCCTATTGACTAACTCAATCTACCTCAACGTTTTTTGATGCCAGGGTCAGCGCAAAACCCTCTCGCCTAACACGTGCCAGCAAAGTGGGCTGTTTGTTTCCCCCTGGGGAAAGCTGGGAGCGTTCCCAGCTGGCTGGCAGAGCCTCCCTGCCACGGTGACTCAGCCTTTCGGGGGAACTCTCTTACCTGTCAAGGCAGTGGGCACGGCAGAGCAGTTAATTTTGTCGCTGCTGCACGACTCCACGAAGCTCTCCATGCTCCTTTGCATCCCCAAGGGGTCGTCTGCCAGGAAGAGACCACAGCTCTGTCAGCACAGACCTCACCTCGGCAGAGCTCACCAGCACCTTCCCACTGCCTCTTCCCACAGCTTTCAAGCTCCTGGGGAAAATTTGCTTCCTATTCTTCTATTTTTTTCTAGGCTTGACTCTTTTGCTGAGTTCAGTGAGACTCCACAGCGCTGACACTCCATCAGTAGCTCTGTACCACCTTCACTGCCATCACTAACCCCAAACCTGCTCTCTGCAGCACGAGGTCCCCACCAAAAGGAGCTGGTTACCGTACCGGTGACCCCCAAACCAGTGCTCCCAGTTTACAAGGCCACACAGACGTGTGTGTTCCTGCAGTGGGGAGGGAGCAGAGGCCCAGGCAGTGCCCACGCTCTGCCCCAGGCCACGGGGCTGACCAACCTCCGGCGCTGCTGTCGGGCAGCCGATCCACCTCCAGGATGAAGTCATCCTTCAGGAACAGGAAGCCCACGATGGAGAAGAGGTAGACGAGGATGAGAGCCAGCAGGGCTGTCAGCAGGATGGAGCGCCCGTTCCGCGTCACACTTTTGATGACATTAAACAAGGTCTCCTCACGGTAGATCAAGTCAAACAGCTGAAAGGACCCAGGAGCAAAGAGATGCTGCAGGGTGCTTTCCTTGATAATGCCTGGCCTATCTCTATCCCCTTTTATCCCGAGATCTTGGATGGCTCAGCAGACCTTGACTAACTTTCACACAAAGCCTTTAAGTTTCCCAGCTTACTGGAGGGAAGCAAAGAAGAATGAAGTGACTTATGCACAGCAGGAGAGCCCAGAATAGGCCACATGCACTCTGCCTCTGCCCTCTCCAGCTCACGTTGTCTCCCAGCTGACCCAGATAAAGTACACAGCAGAGATTAGACAGAGAGATACAGCACACGACCAGGAGAGAGACAGCAATAGATACTGTCGGGAGGCAGAAAGATCAGCCCACGCAAAGATTAGAGCACAGGGAATTGTTCTCTCTCCTGCTATCAATCGGCCCCCGGAAGGTGCCACAGGAGCCCTCCAGCCTCTACCACGGCAGCCAGGCCACCTGTGCCCCAACACCTGCACTGACTGTACCAGGATGCTGTAGAAGAGCTCGTGCACGAAGAGCCCCAGGACGCTGGTCACGATGTAGCCGACATGGTAGAGGAACTCCACGTCCATGATCATGGCCTTGTAGCCGCGGATGAAGGTCCCTCGGTTGCCCACGAAGCTCACCACGAACACAATCTTGTTGGTCAGCTGGGAAGAGACGGGAGGGAGTGGGGTTGGCTGCTCTCCAGGGATGCAGAACAGCCTCCTGCTGCCCCAGCCCACGGAGCACTCACGTTGAGGGCCCCCAGGATGTTGAGGGTGAGCCCGATGCCCAGGTAGTAGATGGAGCGCAGGATCAGGGCCACGAGCAGCGGCCTGACGCCGTAACGCTTGGTGAACAGGGCCATGATGGAGAAGCAGATCAGGATCCAGAAGAGCAGGGAGATCAGGGGGGAATCCAGCACTCCTGGAAGAGCAGCCCGTGGATGTTAGATGGCAGGAGATGAAATGCAGCTGCCAGTCAGGCACTGCTGCTGCCAGGCTGCCCCAGAGCACTAATGAGCTCGTTATCAGAGAGAGGTGATGCTGGACTCTGAAGACTGGTATTGATTCAGAAGGTTCTATCTGATACATTTTCTAACATCTTTTATCTGAGATCTCACTGTGGATGATGGAGGCTTTGCCTGACAGCAGGAGCCTATTCCATCATCTTCCCACATCTCACAAACAGGGAAAGTGCAGCCCGGGGAGAAGAGAGGTTTCCCTAAGAAGGAAGCAGTGGGAGGGCTGGCAAACAAAATCCTGACTCAATC